GGGGTTCCCGAGCAGCACAGCAAGCTTGAGCTAATAAGGCACAGAGCTCCTCGCCCTGCAGCCCGTGCCCGTCCCGGGAGGTGCAGCCTGCGGCCCGGCCCATGAGCCTCCTCTGTCAGCTGGCCCACAGAGGCCCAGTGTGCCAAGCAGGGATGTGTCAAAGGGATCCGTGCCCGAGCATCTCCGGAGACGTGGAGAATGCCCATGAGCAGAGACGCTGAAGCCCAGCCCAGAAAAATGGACCCCAGGAAGAGTCGGTGTGATCCTGTGTAGAATACCCAAAGACGGAAACCAAAAACCCCACTTAAACGCCTGCCCTAAGGCCTCACACAAAGCCCAGCACACTGCAGCTGCTGGCTAAACGCACAGGGGTGGTCTGTCACCCATCAGCCCTGGGCAGGACCACATTTTATGAGGAGACCCCGCCCCGCGCCTGGCACCAGAGGAAGGCGTCAACACGTGCTTGTGGGGTGACACACTTGAACTTCAAAACTTGCTGTTGACGGACTAAAGCCTACAAGTCCCTAGCTTGTTCTACCTGCTTAACCTGCCCAGAAGTGAGTTGAAAGGGCTGAAAGACACGTGTCCTCATAGCTGATCCCCTGGCTCTGCTCTGACAGGCCCTGAACCTGTGGGTCCCTTAGCATCCCTGAGAGTCCAAGGGCGGTTTTCCATGGAGGTTCCACGAACTTGGACTTCTCCTCTGACAAGGCTGCCCCAGGCCAGCTACAGCTCCAGGGTCCCCCACCGGGAGCTGGAAGGTCTCAGCTCAGGGTAACTGGGTTCCCTGTGCCCGGCAGAAGCTCGGACCGGTAGCTGTCAAAAGTGCTGATTTGTAAACTTCAGGAAGTGGAATTATTAATCATTCCCATTTGATTGATGGGCAAACTCTTTGAAAAAAAAACACCCATAAAAGAAGCTTTTCCATCCACCAAATGAGGGGGTTGAGAAGTAGGGGTGAAGAACATGAGGACACGCTGCCTTAAGCTTCAGGCTGCTAATGGTAAGACTGAAATGTACCCCCTTTAGTTTAGAAGGATCAAATTATGTCATAGTTATTTCTTAGCGTGAGGGGACAAGTCTCTGGCTGGTGACGTAATTGTGCTCGTGGGAAATGAAAGAAACTGGAGGAAGAAAAAGGAGGGGTGTGTGTGCCTTTGGGGATCTTTTGGTTGCCGGCCACCTATGCTGGCTACTTCCTGCGTCCACCACCAGCCTCAGGGCAGTTGGTGTCAAGTGTAAGAGGGACTCGAGCTCGGAGCATCAGCCGTGGGCGTCCCAGCACCCACCTCACTCCTGGCACCTTGTAGGCGCTCGGTCAGTAATGTGTTTAGTGACCCCAGCATTCCTCATTGGGCCCCTTTGTATTCGGAGGAATTTCAAGAAATTAAGACGTCAGTAAGAACTCCCTTCCTTCCCTGTCTCATATCTGGTTGTCGTAGTCTCCTTAGTCATGACCTGTGCACCAAGACTGTGTGTGTGTGTGTGTGTGTGTGTGTGTGTGTGTGTGTGTGTGTGTGTGTGTGTGTGTGTGTGTGTGTGTGTGTGTGTGTGTGTGTGTGTACGTACGTCCATGTGCATTCGCACACACAGAGAATTGACTTCACGCCCACCGCACTACCATTTGTGAGCAAGCCAGAAATCCTCCGTTGTGGTCGAGGATGAAGTGTCTGAGGTAGAGACCTTGAGGCCAGTGTTGGCTGTGTCCCGGTGTGTCGCCTTTGCAGTCTCCAGTTGCCCTCTGTGTGTGTTTGGAACATGACTTCACCTTTTATAAGGTGATGCAACTCAGTGTGTGCACGTACTTCATGATCAAGTCACAGGGTAACTGGTATTTCAGGAGGCAAGCCCTTTGCTCTACTCGTATTCCTAAAAAGGAATTTCTGGCCCAGACTTCTGTCCAATGTTCTGACCGATGGGGACACGGAGGTGAGGCCGTGAGAGCGCCACCTCCCAACCCTTCTCCTGGCCGCGTGTCATGAACACAAGCTCAGGGACAGTGGGACGTCCTGCGTGGAGGTTAAGCTTTGTGCCTTCGTGTCCAGCAGAGAGACTGGCCCCGCGATGTGAGGGCACCCACCCGGGAGGCCGCCTCTGGCCGATTCCAGGACACCTCTGTTAGCTGGCCGTCTCTAGGTCTGTCATCTCTGTCCACCAGCCCAGCTCTGGGTCCCTGGACTGCTGTCCACATCTGAAGACAGCCCATCCCCGCCACCTGCCCCACCTGTGGGAGTGAATCCAGGCGCGGCCTCCCAGGGTCCGTCCTCCGTGAAGACACAGTGCCCTCTAGCGGGCCTTGTCAGGAGCTGCTCGGGACCCCTGTCACTGCCCTGGCAAGGACAAAACCGCTGCGCCAGCCCTTCCGCCAAGGACCTTGAATGTGCCTTCAGGTTTGGTGTGTTTTTCTCCTTGTGTGAAGAAGAAGAAAGAACGGCGAGAGACGTTACTGTGAGAGCAGCTCCCCCGCTGCTGTGGCAGTGCTGCTATCTTGGATGTCTTCTCAAAGAATTAACCCCAGGGCCAGTGATGGCAGCAAGCTGGATGTGACATCATATGTTTGTTGAAGGTCATGTGACAATTTCTATAGATCAGCCCCCTGCCTTGACTGGTCTCTTACATGAGGGGGTGGATTTGTGAGGAGAAAACTCTTCTAAGAATTACTATCAAAAGTGTTAAATCTTTTGTTGTGGGCCCCTCTGAGGACACCGAACCCACTGCACTTAATAATGCTTCTGGTAGCACAGACCTGACTATGAAAGGGGACTTGCCCTCACAGCCGCTGCAGTCACAGCTGTTGGGCCGGGGAGCAGGGAGGTGAGGGCGGGGGCAGGGCGCCCGTCAGGGCCGGGAACCTGATCGCATGTGATAGCTGCTGGATTAGGTAAGAGCGCGGTGGAAATTGGATCTGGGAGGATGAGCGTTAGCATCTCTGGTGTCCTGGCGAAAGGCTCATTTGAGTGCTGCATGGTGCCACAGAGATAAAAAGGGGCTTTTAAATAATCATTTTGTCTCCTAGTCACCAGAGTGCTGGCTCCAAGCAGTAAATCGGTGGCATCGGTCCTGCTTAGACGTGTCACCCTTTTCATTTGTTTAGTGAATGTTGGTGGGGTTTTTCTGTAACTGACTTGCTGAGCAGTTCCCATAGCAGAGCCCCAGATTTATAGGGGTGCACACATGTGTGTGTGCAGTGCTGTGTGTTGGTCCATCTGTGCCTGCCCCCACGTACGTGCACAGCCCAAGACCATCAGAACCGAACCTTCTGGGTAAAACAGTGGGAGATGGAGGTTTCTCTTGTTCCTATATGTGCAATTTTTTTTCTTGGTTCTGGCACACATGCTGATGTGTTTTATTTTCATAATGATTTGAGCAGCCAACATTTATGGAACGGTGCACTGTATTTTATCATACCAATTTCTTATGGTCCACATATAGAAACCAGTTATGTTAACTTTCAGTGGATCCTAATGTCTTTTTACAAAGTATTCGTTTATAGGAGTCATAAAATGATAACATCTAAGTGAAATGCTAACATTTTACTATGGGGTTGCTTTCCTCCAGCTAAATGGACGCTTCATACCTGAGGGTCAGAAGAGCCCGTGTAGACGAGGGCTTCCCATTCCGTGTCGCCCCCGGCACCTCCATGGCGGGAGGACGGGGCTCACGGGCACCCTGGCCACGTCCTTTTCCGGCCTTAGACATTTCTATTCTTATTTTATTTAAAACCAGTTCAGTGTCGAGACAAAGAACAATATTAACTAGGCAGGTGTGGATGGTTTGTGCTTCCCACGGCTTGTTGAAAAGAAGAAGTGAGGCGTGGGTGTGGGTGAGACGGAGAGGGCTGGCGAGGGAGATATTCTCGGGGGTAAATACCGGGTAGTCATGGCCGTCGCGTGCCCAGGGTCACCCACCCAGTCCCGGGAGGAACTGGGACCAGCACTGCGGTCACTGGACACCTAGCTCTTTCCTTTCTCACTGCCCCCGTAACTGACCGAGTTTGGTAGGCAGGTGAGCTGACTGGGCCCCAGGTGCTGCCTGCGCCTGTCACAACCTCAGGGGGCTGCCTTCCTGCACAGGAACCGGCACCCGCCCCGGGGGGCTCCCCAGACACCCCCACCCTGAAACAGCCCTTGGCTGCCACTGCTCAGAGCGCCTCTCTCCACGGGGCCACGGGGCCCCTGCCTGCCCCAAAGTGTGAGGGGACACGGACTTCGTCTCTGCCCCTTTACTACGTCCCTCCTTTTCTCTGCTACCCAAATTTTTTTTGATTTTTTTAAATTGGAAATTCTTTTCAAGTTCCGTTTCTGCAAAGATGTGGCCGCTGAGAACTAGCCTGGGCTTCGATGAGTGATTTATTTTATGGCGGGTTTTTTTTGAAATGACAGTGTAGGCTGGTAACTATCACAATGCCGGAGTGTAAGACCACAAACTCACAGAAATCTAAAATTACATTTGAAGAAGGAAATGCTTTTCCTTGAGTTCAAATTTGGCAGTTTTGGGATGAAAGCTAAAATTATATTCTGTTATAATTAATTTTGGGTACTTTTGGACTTCCCTTTATTGTGGTGAAATATACATAACAGAGTCTACCAGTTTAGCTGTTTTTAAGTGCGCGGCTCAGTGGTATTAAGGACATTCACACGGTTGTGCAGCCGCCGCCACCACCTTCTCGGGGACTCTTCACCTCCCCAGAGGAACCCGTGTCCCCAGGGAACCCGCGTCCCCTCCCCAGCCCTGGCCCTGCTTGTCTGCTTCCTGCCTCCTTGAGTTTGACAATTCGAGGGGCCCCGTAGCAGCGGAGTGTAATTCATTTTGGGGAAAAAAGCACATCTCTGCCCTCACCGCCCGCCTTTCTCTCTTTGCAGCCCCTCACCCATTCCTCATATGCCACGTAGACAATAATTTTGTGACTTTTCAGGCAGATGACACGATGGACTGTTTTAGTTTTAGCTTTGTGGACGGGTCCCTATTAACGCCCCTTACCTCCGCTTGTCTTCCTGCAGTTTTGAGTATCCGGGGCGCCCAGGAAGAGGAGCCCACCGACCCCCAGCTGATGCGCCTGGACAACATGCTGCTGGCAGAGGGCGTAGCCGGGCCCGAGAAGGGCGGCGGCTCGGCGGCGGCGGCCGCGGCGGCAGCTGCGTCCGGCGGGGCGGGCTCGGACAACTCGGTGGAGCATTCCGACTACAGAGCCAAACTGTCCCAGATCAGACAGATCTATCACACGGAGCTGGAGAAATATGAGCAGGTACCCGCGGCCACCGGCCCTTTCGGGGAGGATGGAGGATGCAGGGCTGGGGGCTCGCAGCGCCGGGTGGCCGCTCCGGCACTGGCCTCCGCGTGTCCAGCCTGTGCGCCTCACACAGAGCCGCTCGTGGAGCTGGGGCCACGCGTTTGTGGTGTCCACTGTGAAAACCCAGGCAAACCGGACATCAAGGCGTGAAAGCTGTTTACGTTTTATGTGGCAACGTCAGGTAGCATTCGTGGTCAAAAGGAGGGACACGCAGTGCCTGGAACCCAGGCCGACCTGCCCGTGGCGTGCAGCCGGGCTGGTCAGGGCGAGAGGCCATAAGCGGTCACCACCCAACCCACCTGGAGTCGGTGGGTTTCCTGGTCCTTGTTTGCTCTTATTTGGGGGGATTCCTCATCTTCCCGGTGCTCCTGGAATCCTGTGGGAGAGGATACAAGGATAGGACTTGGCCTTGAAGTCCCCAGCTCCACCCAGATGCAGTCAGCTGAGACCCACCACATTCTCCTTTTTATAGAACGCGATATGCAATGTGGTACAGACCTCCCTCTAGGAAATGAGCAGAGGGTCTCGGGGGACCCCTGGAGTCGGGCAAAGCTGGATTCCAGTCCTGACACCCTACTGATAGTCTGGGGGACCCAGCGTTCCACACCTGCTGCCCTGAAAGCTGGTGGCTTATGGCAAAAGCTACAATTTGGAGTTAAGGATACCACAGGGCTGTACAAGTCATATGAAGGAAAGGATAAGAAAGTCCTTAAATTACAAAGCAGTTTATAAGTGTGAGGTGTTCTGATTATAAGAGAGCTCCTCTCCACGCGAGACCCTCTCCTTCTTCCTACACACACACACACACACACACACACGAGCCAATATGGCTTCCTCGGGCGAGCATGAAAATTGCTTTTTTAGGAATCTCTTAATATCAGCCTTCCTGCCATCATTTAGTTGACAAATATGTTTGTTGTCACCTCCTTGGGTGCAAGTTCCACAGTTGACTTACTTTCATCAAATTGTTAGGTTTCTGGGTTTCTTTTTTAAGAGTCACGAATGAAGAGGGGAAAAAGCAAATGGTAGAAGACTCTCCACATGCACTTATGACTCTCTAGGCAGAAGGCAAATGCAAACTTAATAGAAATTTAAATTTTAAAATAGAAATGGGCATTTTAAAATTTAAAGTGAGAAAATTTCATTATTGTACTCCTGTCTACCTTTGAAATGGATTTCTACAAGGTCCCTTCTTTTACGAGAGAAAAAAAAAATTGCTGTGAAGCGTGAAGCCAACCGTGCTGAAATCCAGCCGTCCGACAGGCGTTGGGAGGGCCGACGGGAGGAACGCGAAAGCCGTCCAGCCTCATGTCAAGAACCTGTGTGCCATCGCCCCTCACCTTGGGAAAGAGCAAACGTTCTTGCCACAGTGTTGGCTCATGTAGACGTTTCCTCAGAGCCCAGGAGATGCTGAGCTCAGAGAGCTGGCTGGTCCACGAGAGGGTCCCCCACCTGGCCCATCATGCTGGAGTCCAGAGTCTGCCCTAACCCAGAGGATAACGTGGCAGGAGGGACGGGCACATCTCCTACCGAGGTCTCCAGCGGGCCTCATGGGCTCCCCCCCTCCACCTTCACCCTAAGCCTGGTCTCTGGCATAGCCATCTGCCTAGGTTTGTCACCCAGGGTAACTCGCGCCAAGCTCCAGGGGCACAGAAGAGCCCGGACGGTGGCTTCCCCACTAAGCCCCTAACTGGAATGGATGCCAGGCTGGAAGGTGTTGAAACTTGGCTCTACTCTTAGCTCAGGCTCCAACAACGTAGAAGACCTGCCCGTTTTCTTGATTGAAGCCCCTTGTCACTCCTCTGTCCCCATCCAAAATGAGGCAGACACTTTTGTCCACATAATTGTCTCATTCCTCCAGGCACTTATGTGGCTGGGCACCCAGGACAGGCGCTGCCCTCATCTCCATTTCCGTAACGGTGAGGGGATGGAGGTAAGGCGACTAGGTGAGGTGTCTGGCTTGCACCTCCAGTGTGGGACGGAGCGTGCCCTGGACCCATAGCCCGAGGGCTCTGCCCGGAACGATGCCTGGCTCCACTTAACACGGGCACAGCGCACCCTTCTGTACACACGGAGGGGACCAGCGTGTCCTCTGCTACCTCCAAGGACCAGATCGCTGGTGCCTAAGCGAGACTGGTGATAAGATCGTGTCCTTCAGAAATGTCTCATGGATACCTACCTATTCTAAACAGGAAGGGTGCTGGGAACTGGGAACATCAGCACAAGCTCCAGCCTCCCAGAGCAAATGACGTAAGTGTGGCAGTAGTAGCCGTCCGTAAGGGTTATTCTCAAAAAGCGCTACAAACTCACTTCCTATTTATGTGGGCGTTTTCCAGGTGAGCAGTGAGCACTGCCTGACACGCTCTGGGTGCTCGATCATGTATTAATGTTGGTAGTGTTGTTAATGATAGTAAATAGCAGACTGTAGGAAGTTATGCCGTTAACCTTCTAGCTCGTACGTCTGAGAGACATAGCTTCTTCATTTTCCTGTAACCACTCCTCGTGGCGCCTTGTTTTTTAAAACTAGGAAACCTCAGTAAAGGAAACACGTTACTGTCTATTTTCATAGTGTCTGGATGAAACGGTGAACTTGACCATGTAGTAGTAGCTTTTGTTGTGTTGGTCTGTTTTGTCTTCTTCTCAGTGTGGTGGTGACGGATAACGGGGCGATCCATTAGCTCTGCAGTAATGAGCTGCCATCGCCCCCCCCCTCACCCCACCGCTCCAAAAAATCCCCCCAAAACAGAAACTACCTGAATCAGCCCTTGCTTCACCCCGAGGTTATTAAATAAAGAAGGCTTTTCGAGACTTCGATTAGAAAGAAAGGGAGGAGATTGTTTTCGTCGTTAAATGGGGCTGGGAAAACACTTTTCAGCCAATCCCCCTGGTAGCTAAGGAGATAAGAGCTGGCGTGTCCTAATAGATGGAACCGCGATGGCGGCAACCTGAATGTTAGCGCCAGTGCTGTTTGAAGAGGCTGCTCATGCAGCTTTGGCGGCTTCCTCAGCTTTTGCAAATCATGCTGCCGGGCACGCCCAGGGTGTCCCCACACTGCGCTGGGCTCGGTGAGGCCAGTCACAGCTCAGGCCCCACGTCCCAGTTCCACCCGTGGGTGACGTTGGCACCACACCTCCCTGGAAGGATTAAGGGAGAAGCCACGTGCGGGTGTAAGTAAGCGGGGACGCAAGGCCTCGCACAAGGCTTTCCAAGAGGCTTTTCCTCAGTTTGCTGCTCCCAGGAGCGCCCTCGCGCTGGAACCTGGGACCTATCCTTTCAGAAGCCCCTCTGCTCTCTGGGGGCTGCTGGAGTGGGGCTGCGGGGAGGGACAGTCTTCATGACTGTCACAGCAGTCCTCTCTGTCACAGAAGGCTTCAGCCCGGGAGGGTTCCATTTATTAACAGCTGTGACCCCAGCTCCTCACACCCAGCCTCGGCAGGGACACTGAGGAGGACGCACGGGCTGCTGAGGTCCTGCAGAAATCTGGGTCACGGCGATCCACCCCTCCGAGGCGGGCTGGGCGCGCTGGTGCGCCGTCGGCGGTTCCTGAGCAGCTGGTCTGCAGCTGCCCTGTCCCACCTGAGTGGTGCGTGGAGGGCCGCCCTGTCTGTCTAGGGCAGAGCCCAGAGGCCCCGATGGGAAGCCCTGGATAACATCAGGTAGTGCGGGGATTTTTATCCACCAGGATGAAGTGCATTATTGTTAGCCCAGCACTGAGCTTCCCAGGGGGGAGCCTGCGCACTTGACAGCACCTGCATCCCCCATGGGCCCACCAGGCAGCGGTGCAGAGAGCCTCTTAGGATGCTTGCTGCACCCTAACCCTCCACCCCGCCGCCCCCTAGAGTTCCAGCCAACTCACTGCGCAGTTTCATCTCCCTCCCTTTTTTGTAGAAAGTGGGGAGTTAGGGAGGCAAGAAGCTTACGCTGCAGAGCTTGTGTCTATAGGGTCATCTTTTTAGCGGAGAGCAAACGGCTGACTGGATCTCGTCTTCTGTGGGTTTGTTATGAGCACGTGCCTGTACAGTAGAAAGACGGTGCTTGTAGACCCTTTATTTTTACCAAGAGGGAAACTGAGGCCTGGGGAAGTATACCCAATCATGTTAGAGTTCTAAGTTACCTGTATTTTGAGAAGATAATGACACCTGTTTATGTGGCCAGACACGTGGATGGTACTCACTGAATGCCTTCCACACCCGTTGAGCTGGGTGTCCTCATCCCCACGTCACAGAGATGGCAGGTACTTTTCCAAGGTCCCACAGCTAAGGGGGTCCCAGAGGCAGCGTGTGCCCCTCCTCAGCCCCAGTGCTGTGTTCAGGTGAGGGATTTACTCCGTCCACAAGTCTCTGTACAAGAGCATGGCAACTGCCAGGCCTCCTAAAGGCCTCGGAACAATTATGTCCACTCTCAGATGAACCACATGAGGTGCTGAGTAGTGAAAGGATCCACCCAAACCCTCATGAGGTTGCAAAAGCCAGGCCCCCCAGTACCCAGTGTAGACACAGCCCATGAGATGTGTCTGCCTAAGTACCTTCGGCCAACCAACCCTGAGGGATTCCTTAGAGAGACCGACAGTAAGTGTGTTATTGTCACTGCAGGATGGACAAGTCGAAGGGACTCGGTACAAGAAGGTGGCAGTGCCCCGCTGTTGTGAGCGGACACGTTTCTGCTGGTCAGATTCGGTTGGGCCCCTCAGCGCTCAACGGCAGCCTTTTCTGTCACAAATCTAATAGTGTCATGACAGGGCTGTGAGTCAGCCTGTGAACTGATTCTTGATTGGATGTTCAGCTAAGAAAACCGGGCCACAGATGACAATAACAGGAACTACAAGAAAGGGCGGTGGCGCTCAGGGGGCTCCGGGACAGGACAAGCCCCTGGCTGGGGGTAGGAGGTGCTCGGGGCCAGCCTCACGGCCACCTTTCGCTGTGTGGCTTTGGGAAAGGCCCTCCTGTCTCTGGGCCACAGTCTCCCCAACTGTAATGGAAAACAGAGGGAAAAGGGCCTCCCTTCTGGAGCTGACGGCATGTTGGTCTCCAGCCTGAGGGTGTCCTTTCTGCCAGGAAAGCCCGACTCCCCTGAGGGATGTGCTGCTGCTGTCTCGGGGCCCCTGGGGACAGGGTCCCTGTGTTACGGTCCCTGTGTAGTGGGTCTTCAGAAGGCCCATGCGGGAGCGAGTTCTTACAGTCCAAGTGGACGGAGGCGCAGATGGCAGAGACAGAGAGACAGCGTCTGATTCCATGACCCCACCCTCCTGGCTGCATACTCTTCCCCACACTGAACATTCAGAGGTGCTGCTGTGTCTGAGGCAATGGACAAGACAGGGAGTTCATGCTGGGCTTGACCCCAAACTGTCTGTCTGTGAGCGCTGGGGTCAAGGGCCGGGAAGTGTGTTTTATACTGGAATTCGCGTTCTTGTAGTTCACAGTAGTAAAGTCATGAAAAATATGATTATGAATTTTTTTCCCCTTAGGGCTGGCTGAGTGGCTCAGTTGGTTAAGAGCTCGCTCAAGAGTGCGAGCTCTGAGCAGCAGCGGTTCGATGCCCGGCCCAAGCTGAGCAGCCGCTGAGCTGCCAACAGGTGGCAGGATGGCTCAGCTTATAAAAAAAAAAAAAAAAGAAGTACATCGTGGTAAAAAGTTCAGTCCAGTGGGCTGGCAGGGATTTCCAGGCGTTTATCCTGTGCCTCTGATTTGACAAAATTTTACAAACAAGCCCAGCGTCCCCTGCTTGCGCAAGTCTGTATAACAGCCACACAGCCTTCCACCCAGACCTGACGTGTGCCACAGCTGGACCCCCTCGCGCTGCGGCCGGGACCCCCTCGCGCCGGTTCTCACTGTCCTGCCCTTCCAGGCCTGCAACGAGTTCACCACCCACGTGATGAACCTGCTGCGCGAGCAGAGCCGGACCAGGCCCATCTCCCCGAAGGAGATCGAACGCATGGTCAGCATTATCCATCGCAAGTTCAGCTCCATCCAGATGCAGCTGAAGCAGAGCACGTGCGAGGCCGTCATGATCCTGCGGTCCCGCTTCCTGGATGCGCGGTGAGTCCCCGGGGCGTCGGTCTTCTGAGAACCGCCCACCCAGGGCTGGAATTCGCGCCGGTCCCCCCTCTCCAGGGTCTGTGTTCACCATGTTAAACGCTGAGCCCGTGGTGGCGGAGGAAGGTTCCCAGGTCAGGGTGAGAGGGCTGCGAGGCTGGACACGCCCCTGCTTCTCAGGAGCTGCATGAAGACATGGGATTGGAGGAAGGGTGACTTAGCTACAGTGACAAAAACGGCAGGCGCTTGGGGTACCTCCTATACAGGTACGTGCTGTGACTGTGGGCACACAGCAGTGACTCGCCTTCTCCAGTCTGAGAGCTGGGATCTTGTCCACACTACATACGGGCTGAATATGCACTGAGGTCAGTGCACACACGTTTCAGGTAGGGCACGCGTGTCACGCTCTGGGCTAAGTTCTAGGCGTGCAGAGACGGATGGGCTGGGTCCCCGGTGCAGAGGGACAAGGCGCTGGCCTGATGGGGCCAAACCTTCACTCAGGGTTTGATGTTTGCTGTCTGGCATTGCTGCTTGTGAGCTTACCAAGTTCAAAGAGTGCAGTGGAAACCCATGGCTAGAAAGGTCCTTTAAGGCAGAGGACAAGCCATCAGCCCTTTGTCCCCGACTCTGTAGACCAAAGGATTTATGCAAATCGCATTGATTGCTTTGGCTTCCGTTATCCAGCCTGTAAGTTGGTGCCTTTTTTATACTAGAAGAGTATTTTGATAATTGATTAAATATCTCTCAGGGTGTGGGTATCCTTGGTGATCCACAGTTCATCTTAAATTAGCCATCTGCTATAAAGGCAGATTTCATCTTTCATTATTTCAATTTCTGAAAATAACCCCAACCTATGATTTTTATCATTAAAACGTCAGATGTGTCGTGGTAATATACCATTTCGTGGTCGTAGTTGTGTCCCTTTTAATCAAAGATTGGCTTCTCTTAGTGAATGTTTTCACCCGTGGAATCATGTATTTTTCAGCCTTCGTACGTCACTTGTACCAGTATTTTTCTCTCTGTTCACAGTTGTGGTCTTTGGAATCCACAGACCTCTTTCAAACCCGCTGGCATCTCCTAAACGCCCTCCTACCCAGTGCATTTTGGGTCATCCGGGACCTGAAATGAGACCACCCCCCAGCGGTGTACCCCTGGGCCCGTGGGACTCCACAGGGCCAGTCAAGAGAAAGCAGAAACGAAGGGCGCTTTCCCAGCTGGGGTGGGGATGAGGCAGGACCCCCGTGCGTCTGCCTTGCCCTGGCCTGCTGCCAGCCAGGCTTCTTAAGAGCAGGCTGTGCCACACGGTGGGGTGCGAGGGACGGGTGGCCGCTGTCTGGGCCCGCCCTGTGTGTACCTGCCGCCGTCCCCACGGAAATTCCCCTCGGTAAGATGCTGGAGTTGGTATTTATGTTGGCAGATCCTGAAAAAAGGAAAAGTTGGGCCCAGACTACATTCTGTCCAAGGACAAAGTTGGGGGGAAGTCAGGAGCAGCGCCTGTGTTTCTCCCAGCACTAGCTCTGCTGAGCCCAGTTCAAGGTCAGCACCTGCAGGACTCACGGTGAGGCGGGCTTGCTCAGTTCCTGCACTCCCGCCAGCCCTGGCCTCCTTGTTCCGGTTGGCACAGAGGGACAGTCGCCCGGAGTGGGGTTCTTTCCTGCTGTGGGCACTGTTTCTGGAAGGCACCAGTCTAGGGCTGTGCTGTAGTAGGTGGCTGTATGCCTTTAAATGTTACTTAATTAAAGCAAAACAAAAATAGATACCATTTTAAACTTTGCTCTCCAGTTACACCAGCCACACTCCCGCCGCCCAGTAGCCACCTGTGGCCAATGGCTTCTGCGTCGGCCGCAGAGATAAAGCGTGTTTCCCTCACTGCGGAAAGTGCGGTCGGACAGCAGCGGCCAGACTGTTAGATGGCAGCCAGTGGCTTTCTAAAGCCATTTCAAAAATAGCAGTGACGATAAGGATGGGACAAAAGGGACGACTTTGAAAGACTTGCTTCACCTGATGAAGCTGAGACAGCAGAAAGCGGGAGAGTGACTCCCAGCTGCTGGTGCTGGTGCATGCTGGGAGCTCAAGTGTTGGAATGAATGAATGAATGAATGAATGAATGAATGAATGAATGCTAGGAGCTCAAATGTTGGAATGAATGAATAAATGAATGGATCAATGAATCCGCAAAAGCACTGAAGCAGCTCTGTGGTGATGCCATTCTATAATGTGGATAACAAAGAAAATAGAGCTGGTTTGGGTGAAAGGTGGGACCAGTTGGGGAGAGGGTTTGTGCGTGGTGCCTGGACTGTGCCGTGGTCAGTGGGTGATGTCCCTAGGGGAGGGTTAGGGCTGGGGACAACACGTTTGGGAGTTAACCATATATGTCCACGGTAACCACATTGCCCAATCTCCATTACTCTGATTCCAAAGGTTTCGTCCCTAAAATGCTGCATTTATCCAATAACCAACTTCCACATTTCTTAAATTCACAGCCTAGATCATTGAGGCTTTACACTTTTGCTCGGCCTGAAATCTCAAATGTTAGCTTGCTGAGCCAGGAACACTTCAAACCAAAGCAAAGCAACCAGGCATCTGAGCTCAAATAACCTTATCTTCAGAAGTGTGTTATTTTCACAGGGTTTCTTGAAACCCTGAAAAATTCTGGTCCCTGGATTTCACAGGCCTGAGACCGAGACTGCCTCCGAAAGAGGTGGAAGCAGGTACATCAGAGGTCACGAGACTGCCCAGGGACGGCTGCACAGCACAAGGACACGAGAGAGCTGGGGCAGCCATCCCGTCCCACACCACCCCCTCATCCCAGAGGCTGCCTTTGAACCCCGTGTCCCAACAAATACACTGTAATGCTAATACAAACAACCGAGAGAGTGAGCAAGGCCCTCCCAATTAGGGGCACCTTTGGGGTCTGGGTCCCCGGGCCCCAAACAACTGCCTTCTTTAGGAGAAGCCAGAGGTTTAGTGCAGACGAGCCCGCAGACGCGTGAGCCACTGGCCATTTCCTTCAGTTCCCTCCTGCATGAGCTTTTAACACATGCCGACTTTCTAGTTGGGCTTTAAATCCAGCCTGCCCAATTTCTGCTGCTGGGTGACCCAGAAACTCAGCATGATTTGGGGGAGCGACTTGGTCTTGGCATAGCCTGGACAGATGTGGTTTGTACCTGTGGACAGATGGTGTTCATCGGTAAAATCAGGTACTTTATTGTGTTAATTAATCCAAGTGGGACCCTGAAAACACAACATTAGCTGAGTTTCCTGTCTAGCAAGGTGATCGGTGCTTTCTGTTGGCTAAATTGGGAAATTCTGTATCCTGGCGTAACCAGGGATGTTCTGGGAGCCTTTTCCATAAGGAACAGCTTTGGATAAAAGCAAGAAAGAGAAACGTGCTAATAGAGCTGATTTAAAGGAGGCCCCACCTGCTGGGGATGGGGGGCAGCCAGCATCTCATGAGCTGGGTCCCCACGCAACTCCCCACTCCACTGGCCTTCTCCGGGACAAGGCAGTAAAATGTTCTCACTTTGCATTAGTTCAATTAGCACTTTTTTTAAAGGTAGAAAATTGCCTTTCTTCAAAAAGTGGTCTTCCTTCCAGCCACCAGTACAGTAGAGATGCCTGCGGTCCTCTGGTTTCCTCTTCAGCAGCTCTTCTCGCGTGGGAAACGTCACTTGTCTCCTTTGAAACAGTCAGGGGTCATTTCAGTCCATCCCAGGCCCGCTTCCCAGATGCCTTTTAAAAATGGTGCATGCACGCACATGGGGCAAGCATACAGAGGAAACGGTGACTTCTGTTGAACTCAGGGCTACTGAGTCCCTAAGCGGGATTGCCAGGAGGTGGCTGGGCTTGCAGTCGGGCAGGCCTGGTCCATATCTGTAACAGACCAGCAGAGCCACCGCGGGACGCAGCTATTTGTTGAGCAGTGGGAGGATGATCTCTACCTCACTAGTTGTGAAAAGTGAGTCACTTGAATTGATGGCTCTGAGGGGTGAGGCCCAAGGCCTGGCACCGGGTAGGAGGAAGCAGAGTCCCCACTCTGTCCAGGGAATGTCCTAGCCTGGTCCGCGCACAGGTGCTGTGCTGGGGAGTGGCCCCTGTCACCTCGCTTCTCCCTTCGTCTCGCCCCCGAGGTCTCTGTGACTTTCAGCTGGAGAGACCTAGGCTCAGAGACACGTCCCAGGCCACCCAGCTGGCATCCAGTTGATCTAGGATTCAAGATGGCTTCAGTTTTGAAACTTCGTGCTCTTGACCACGTTGCATAAATATTTGTGACCCTTCCATGCACAGCTTAGTAACAAATGTTTTTGGTGATGGTTTTGACATCCAGCTCCTTTGCGCAAATCTCCTTTGATCTACTTTTTGCTAAAAAAAAAAAAAAAATGTGTCTCCTCCCAGAAGTGGATTCTCTTCTCTCCCTTTCTATGTGTATTTGGTGTGAACTTGACTTTGTCGTTGTGTCTGTTTCCTTTCTCCTTACGCAGGCGGAAGAGACGGAATTTCAACAAGCAAGCGACGGAAATCCTGAATGAATATTTCTATTCCCATCTCAGCAACCCTTACCCCAGCGAGGAAGCCAAAGAGGAGTTAGCCAAGAAATGCGGCATCACCGTGTCCCAGGTGAGGGCCCCCAGGTCCGCCTGTGGCCGGCGGGGGTGGAGCCACCCGGCAAGGCCCGGGAGCCTTGCTGTGTGTAGAACTTTCCTGCCTTTGCGGGTTCCACCAGCTAAAGCCCTGAGGTGGCAGGTAGGCACATGATGTGTGTAGACAGGAGAGCTTCTGGGTAGGTAGGTACCTGGAACAACAGCAGAAGCGGAAGCGTGAGTAGAGCGTCGTATAGACCCCGGGCTGGGGTTCCTCCCGCCGAGGCCCGTGGCTTCCCGTGGGGAAGGCTCTTATCTGCGTTCGGGAAGCTGCCTGCCTTTCCTGTGTTTTCTCAAACACACTCAGTTCCTTAGCTCACTTTATTTTTGCCCAGCGCAGGAACTTTACAAGTCAGAGAATGGCACTTTTAAATGAAAGGGACTCAAATGCCTCCTCTTGATGTGCTCCTGCTCACCAAGGGAGGGGAGGGATTTTAACGTATCACTGCGATTGAATTGGAATGGTTGCCCAAAATGTCACCGAGCGTCCCCTCCCCCCAAAGAGTAATACACATAGCAGGTGCCTATTGACACAGAAGGATGCGTGATATACAAACTTTATAAAGCCGAGTCTTCAGCACTGATACAAAGTAGAAAAGTGGGCGATAGTATTTGTGCATGCATTTTGTCTCCTCGGAGGGCCCATCCAAGCTTCTTAGTCTGAGTTCTGCATACTCCCACCGGCCTCTAGTTGAGACCAGGAGGGGTAGTTCTGAAACCGACCACAGAAACTGTCTCTCGGGATTGTGTCACATGCAAGAGAACCAAATGTACTGATATTCCCTTACAAGGGTGGGATAAGGGAGACGAGCCCTCCTCAAGTGAGAAATTTCACATAACATTTTCCCAGCGACGTAGGTGCTGTGTTGTGTAAGCTGAGCATCTGTACTTTCTGGAGTTGAATCCTGGCTTCTGTTTCTCCCCGCAGGGTACCAAGTCCATCAACCTGTGTTTAGCCAAGCAGAATCAGGCCTAGTCAGACTCCAGACTCCAGTGGGGTGTTCTCAAGGAAGAGGTTGCCAGGGCCTCCCCAACAAGCTGTGGGTGGTTTTGCAGTAGCCTTAGAAACACCCTTCCAGAAAGATAAGGTAGAAAGGATGAACTCCTTTTCAACTCAGACCTTCCTTAGGTGCTGTGACCCAGCCAAAGGTCATCTGCCATCTCGACAACCCATCAGGACAAGCTCAGGTGGCCTAGTTTTGTCTGCGTATCTAAGTAGCCTTATCTAACTCTAGACCCTGGGTCCATGAGAAAACAAGCTTGATGTGTTTTGGATGTTTGCTGCATGTTTGAGAAGTGGCTCCAGGTGTGGACCATGCCACTGACTCAGGCAGCGAGTGACAGGCATAAACTCTTCTATGTTATCTGAACTCAGCTTCTGGGATTCAGAATTCCAGGTCCCTCCTGAAGATAGAATGAACCCTTCAGGAGCGAGTCTGTATTGTATGTAGGTAAAAGACGGAATCCAGGCCTGTTCCAGCAACCTTCACTTCCTTCAATGTGGAAACTTAAGGTGCAAACAGTTGGTCCAGTCAAATGACTATTTACGTACCTTGGCCCTTTTCTTTCCCTCCGCCCACCCCAAGGCCATGTCAGTCACACCATTCCCTCCCAACAGCAACCAAGCTATTCCACCATTGCCAAGCAGGTCCCCCGGGAGACAATATGACATGATGTCATGGAAAGGGCACTTGACTGGGAGCGTGCTTCTGCCAAGAGTCAACTGTGAGATTCCGGGAAACCCACGCTTTCTTTTTGGGTCTTCGTTGCCCCATCTAGCACCAGCTGTGGTTCTTGAGACCACATGATTCAATCCCCATCTAGTTCCCAAACCTAGGGGATGTCCTTTGAGCTGTCTGCTTTCCTTTCCTCTCCTGCCCTCCAAATCTCTGTCCCTTCCTGTCTCCCTCCTTCCCCCCTTCCTTCCTTCCTTCCTTCCTTCCTTCCTTCCTTCCTTCCTTCCTTCCTTCCATCAGCCCTCCATCTTTAAATTCTTACGCCTTGACTTCTTTGGTGCTGCCCTCGCTGTAGTTCCCTTCTTCCTTGTGGGCCGCTCCCACCCAGTCTTCTTAGAGCAGCGGTTCTCAACCTTCCTAATGCCGCGACCCCTTAATACAGTTCCTCATGTTGTGGTGACCCCCAACCATACAATTATGTTCGTTGCTACTCTATAACTGTAACTTTGCTACTGTTATGAATCGTAATGTAAACATCTTTTTGTTTTCCGATGGTCTTAGGCGACCCCTGTGAAAGGGTCGTTCAACCCCCAAAGGGGCCACGCCCCACAGGTTGAGAACCGCTGTATTAGAGGATCTACTGTTCTCCCTGCCCTAGAATATCCTTCTTTCTTTCGCCCTCATCTCTTCATGTCCCAGCCTGTGGTTCTGAAGCATTTTTGTAAGTCACAGATTCTTTTGAAATCTACTCACTGTTGAGTCCGCTCATGATCCAAAACAAAAATGTGCTCAGGCACCAAAGTCCCCCCGAAACCCACCTGTGGACCTTCCTCTCGTTGCATCATCTACACCAGTGCGATGCACAGAGGACGACATCAGCAACCCCAGGGAGCTTGTGAGGAGCTTATCTCATAGGCGCACCCCAGCCCTGAAGCACAGTGTCGGGGGGAGGGGGAAGCAGGAGGACGGGAGCCCGTTACACCAAGCACTCCGTGCACACTTGACATTGGAGAACATTCGAGAGGACCGTGTCTAAGCGATCTCGTCCATGTTCACAGCTACAAGCACACCCCTGTTGGAATACCCAGACGAGACTTCTCTCCAGGACCACCGGGCTCCCGTTCCTTACTGCACCCTGGCCTTCGCCCTGGCCCTGCCCCGGGGCACTGAACATGCTCAGAATGTGGTCCCACTTGCCTCAGACCCTGACGTCGGCGTGCCCCTGATGCCTTAGCATAGCATACCCTTAGATCCCAAGGAGCTGAACAGAGTTTGTTCACAAGGACACGAGTTCTGTACATTGTCCAAGGCGTGTGACGCCATCAGGTGGACGACACAGGAAATGCTGAGCTGACCTGGGGCCTTCCCTCCCAGGCCTGCTCTGCTCATTTAGATGGGTGGTGTCCCCAGAGACCCCTCCTCGACCCCCTTGTTCTCGCCTGTAGCTGACTTAATTAGCCCTCAGGCACTTTCTTTCTGCCTCAGAAGTTCCCCCAAACTACCTTTGTCCTTTGCCCGTTTCTTCCCGCTCATCCAGTTCCCTCAGAAAAACCTCCGTGCCGCGTTTCCTCTCTCTGTTCCACTCAGAAGCCAAAAAGCAACCACAATTATGATTGATGCACATGAATAGTGAAAAGTTATATCAAGAAAAACATGAGTTTGGGATGGAATTAGATACGCAGTGGTCTTGAACGGACCCACAAGGGCCCTTCTGGGTTAACTGTATTTTCCTGTCGGCACCAGCATGCACAATAATAAATTAAGCCTTTTCTTACAGAATTTTTTCTCTCATTTACTAATATTGCAACAGTATGGTTTGATTTTTTTATAACAAAGCTGTGACATTTCCACTGTAGCATACACTGCGCAGGACTATGAGGGTTAACTTATAAGATTGCTCCATTTTGCTAATGTATTTAAAAATAAGTAGTTTTGCAAGAATTTTCTTGGTCTGTCGTTGTTGGGGTACATATAAGTTATATGTGGGCTGTGGTGCATGGCTTGTCAACCTCCTCTTTCCTCACCCAAGTCATGGTTTGTTTTGTAATTACATAAAACCCACAATATTTTAGTGTGAAATCACATCTGGATTATGGGACATAAAACTTGCCTTCCGCAGGCAGAATTAGGGGAGTGACACTTGACTGTCATCGTGTCTCCTCTTATCTGGCACAGGTCTTGGTGTAAAGGGAACTGGGGCTCAGAATTGAGCCAAGACAGCTGCTGTGAGCCTCATGAAGGAGCTAGATTAACAAACGAAAGTAAATTAGGTTGATTTTACTTCACATGGCAAGCCTGGAACTCAAAGGGGTAATCAGCGGTGTGCTTCAGTTTTTTCGTGTTTTGCACACACGGGGAAACCTCGCAAATCAAAGTTTATGGATGCTGAGGTCTGTACTACAATGCAGCCAAGAATCTAGTCTATATTAAAGTATTTAACCCCTAAAGACTTGAATTGATTCCCTCAGTGAAAACACCCATGTGTTGATATAACCGTATATGGATATTTAAAGGTCTGTGTATTATTGTTGCCCAAAGTCAGCGTGAGCATTGACTAAGACAAAGAAAATTCTTGCAAAACTACACTTATTTTTTTAAATGCCTTTTTTTTAGAATCATATACTTAGGAGGTAAGCAAATTCAAAATGCTTTCCCTAAACTGAAAGGGTCCTGGTTTAATTGAGCAAGTCCTCCATAAGAAAGTTTTTGTTGCCAAGGTTTTGCTGAACGGTGTTACATTGAGCGAGAGGATGTCTTTTTATATGGCCGCTCCTCTGGACGCTCTCACTTCAGACCTTCATGTCAAGCCTGAAGACCCAGACATCGGATGAGACCACCCAGCTGGTCAGCCCCCTCGTTAGCCCTTTTCTGCTGCGCTGTTTGTGAAGGATGAAATGTTAACACTCTCATCTCCTCTTCCACGGCTCTAGGTATCAAACTGGTTTGGAAATAAGCGAATCCGGTACAAGAAGAACATAGGTAAATTCCAAGAGGAAGCCAATATTTATGCGGCCAAAACGGCTGTCACCGCTACCAATGTGTCAGCCCATGGAAGCCAAGCTAACTCACCCTCAACTCCCAACTCAGCTGGTTAGTTTTTCTTTGGATTTGGGGGGATTGTGCTCCATTTTTATACTTGTTTTTCCTGCATCGGGGTTTTCCTTTCATGCTTTAGGTTTCTGATTGGTTGGTTTATGTATTGGACTCTCTTCTGGGTTGCTGAAGCCCCTGTGGGTTTTCCTTTCATTTCCAAAAAAGCAGGGTGTGATACTGTTTCTGAGATGGGCTTGCCTGGAAGTGTGCACCGATGTGTCGAGTTAAGGTGGAGGGGTTGGTTTGGATGAGGAGACCCCTAAATTTTCCTTCCAGAGACACCAGTGTGGAAGCTGGACCTGATACTTAGGCATGGCCCCCGGGTGTCCGAGCATTTAGTCTCTTTCATATCCAGTTTTCATGCTTGTCTATTTTGCTGTTCCCATCACGTAATGTCTGGGTCACCTACTCGCACGCATTCTATGCGTGAGTATTCACTCTTCGAGCAAGGGTCTCATGAGAATGCTCTGGTCAGCAAAGCCAGACTAGGATTATTTCTGTACATTGTTTCTATCTGTTATTCTCGACTATTTTATTTTGTTGGTTTTCTTTTTGCAAACAAAGGAAATTGCCAATCATTAATTCAGATTATTCAGATTCCAGTTTTTATGTTATAATATCAGTCATGTGCTATGCTGTTGGTTTTTTTGCATTGTGTCACTAATTTCAGAGTTTAGGCTAACAAAATATATTTTTGGGAGTGCCTTATATCGGTAGTTCTGAATTTTCACTTGTGAAAACAACATAGTCAATAATGCATAAAATATAACCTTAGTGTTTGTGTGCTATGAGGACATGCTGGTACTTGTTTTAAAGGGGAAAACCAGGAATAGTTCCTTATGAAATAAGTTTGGCCTCAGATGCTGACATTTTCCCCCACGATGAGCAGATGCATTGGTTTGGGCTGGGAGCATTGCACATCTAGGAGAATGGGTGCCTCCAATTTTGAAGGGTCGCACATTTAAGTATGTCAGATCATAGCAGGTTACCAAAAAATCGCATTTCCAACATGGCTGGGGCTATGTGGTGTCTTTGACTCCAAAATTTGTTTGTCCACTAAAATCAGTTCTCATTCTACTGGTGGGGGGTGTTATTCGTGGACACACTTAAGGCTGCATGCTCACGTCCTCCGGGAGCGTCTAGACGTATAAGTGTTCATTACGTGGCGGTTCTCCAGGCCGCGGCGCTGTGCCCTTGAGAGTGGCCCGGGCTTTTAAAACATGGCTGCGGGAACACAATGTGGAAGTCCAGCCCACTTTCGTTTTTCCCAGCACGCCAGGTTGGGGAGCGGTGAACAACATATGTCCCGTGTGCGGGCCGTGTGTGTGTGTGTGTGTGTGTGTGTGTGTGTGTGTGTGTTTCCTTCTTTTCCCATCGTGGTGTGATTGACAAAGGACCGAGGCTAACAGCTTCCAGAACCAGAGTTTCCTTCGTCCCCAGCTGGCCCGCTCTGAAGCATTTCAGCCCCAGCTACACTAGTTGAATTGCACTGCGAGGCAGACATTTTCCCTCGTCTCTTTGGAAAGAGCTCAGTTTTGTCAACATTAGCAAAAACACACGGAATACTCCTGCAAAGGTTATCATAATGCAAAACAGACATCCAATGACTTTTTCCTGTCCCTCATGTGTCTGCTTCGCAGATGGCTTCGCGTGATTTATGGTGAGTCCTTCGACGGGCCCTGCGGACGCCCTTCGTTACTACATCCGTAACTTTTTCTTCTTTCCTGAAGCTCTTGGAAGGAGAAACGCGAGCATGTGAACCCCCTCGTCTGTGCTTAGGAATCACATCGGGTGTCTCGGAATGTCAGTCTGTGATGACAGCTTTCTAAGGGATTTTTCTGGTGACGTCAGCTTTGTGTGACGGTGTTGAACCCCAAGTAAATTATTATGGAAAATGGGAGTGAAGCCTTCCGGTCATGATTAAGTTGTTGGAATGTGCGGAGGGTTCCCTTTGTCCGGCTTCCTCTAAGTGGAGACAAAAGAAACCCCTGTTATATCTGTGCAACAACATGGAGCTGTAACAGATAAACGTTTTCCCAGGAAAACTGACAAATGGGCCCTTTTGCTCTTAACACAGCCCAAATCATTGCCCAGACAAAGGGAGACCTTTAAAACGTTCACACTTCTCACATAGGGGGTTTCTAATGTTGTGTGTTAGCTCTTCAATAATTCGAAAGGATAAGTGATCAATGAACATAATCGGCAAGTTTAAAATAAAAGGTTAGTATGTGACAGTACATTTTAGCTGAGTTTGAAGTCTAGAGTTCTGGAAGCTGGGAACATTTTATATCCTAAATATCGATGCAGGGTTGTTGTTTTTTTCCAGAAGCTTTACCAAATACAAATAATTCATTTCTACTCCAAGGAAGATACTTTGCAAGTAATATTCTTCCTCCTAGAGGCTTCTATGTGGAGAGCGGTACTTCAGAAACTTTATTTAGGCCACTTCTAAACATTCCTATTTGTTGACATATGCCGGGTCCCCAATTTCCTTAAGCATGTTTCATAAAAATCACTCAGAACTGGGACCTGGGAGGATCCACAAGCGTTTAGAGGTGCTTGGCTAACATTGCATTTCACAGCAGCGGGGTTAAGCGCGATGGATGGAGCAGAGAGGAAGATTAGAAGGAAGACAAGGAAATTAAGTTTTCCTTAATTTCAGAAAGCAAAGCAAAACTGGGGGGGTGCAATTGAAACAATAGTGATAACCTGGGGTCCACAATTCTCCTCCTGTGACCTTGAGGGTTTTTTTCTGAATTTTCTATTTGGGGTGAATTATAAAAGCAAGAGTTAAAGTCTCAGAAAAATGGGGCCTGTTGGGAAGGTTGGAGAATATTTTAACGTCCAGTTGGCTGTGTGTCACAGAAGTTTGCTATGACACAGCATCAACGTTAGTGTCTTCTCAGGATCTGTGATTGGCTAAGCCGCCCCATGCCTCCTGGGGCTCAGCACCCCCATATTTGGGTTCTTTTGCTTAGCTGCACGCGTGTGGCAGGACACCGGCAGGTTCGGCCATGGAAGGTCTTCCCGGCACTGTTCAGGGAGCCGGAAGCCGGGCCCTTGTGCGTATTCACATTACAGCCCTCGGCGGAGGTGAGTGCCTTTCTGGGTTGGTGGAAGATGCTCATATTACAACACTGGACACCCGCTTCCTAGGAGGAGTTTCTGTGTCGTTCACACTGATGCGAGGAGGTCACGCATCCAGGGGGGCTGACGGACACCTGTAGGGAACCCCCAGGAACCTCTGTAACTGTGTTTTCAAACCAAGTGAGAGACTGTATCCCAGTGCTGTTGTCTGCTGTGTTCTTTCCTCCTGTGTTTCTCCCCCTGTGATGTCTAAGTGGAAAATAAGATCACAGCCTGGAGTTGGAATTCTAGAACCCCGACCCGCACACTCACTAAAGCCATTTCACATTGAACCAGATAGCGTTGCCCTGTTTCACTTCACCCTGAACAGGAAGTAACAGTGACTTTCAACTTGGAGAGGAAGAATCATAGCAAATAGAGAGGCTGCCAAGTCCCTAAGGAAGAAAAAGTAAATCCATTCTGGCTCTAGTCATTGGTGCTCACCTGGGGGACTTGCCCTCCCCCCTCGGGGGCACTCGGCAATGTTGGCAGACGTTTTGGGTTGTCACATTTTGCTGTGGTCGGTTCTGTGGCAGCGAGTGGCTAGAGGCCAGAGACGTGGCTGACCGTTGTCAATCCATAAGACCATTGCCCGACAATGAAGAATTATCTAGCCAAAATGTCAGTGGTGCCAAGGACAAGGAGCCGTGCCCTAAGTTAAGATTTTGTCATTAGTAGACCATTTTGGGGATTATGAAGTTAATTGTTTTTTTTCTCCCTGCACCAATTTAAGTCTCCTGAAATTGCTTTAGAAATGCAGTCTTCAGGAGGTTGTCTCATGAGAGCGGATGTTAACACGCCTTCATATACATCATCATAGCTGCCTTAGCAAATGCGTTAGAACCCAGAGGTGATCCAGTATTTCCTCTCTGGGCAGGTGGGCTCTGTCCCTGCCCTGAATATCTGGGTGGCAGCTTGCACACGCCCCTTGCCCCCCTTTCCATGCCGAATTCTGAACCTTTTACGTAGCGAGCACCGCTCACAGCATGCTTCTAGTAATTGCTGATTATTGTATGGCTGCCCACAGATAAGGCTCCCAGCTGACCTTGCCCGCAAGCCCGGGACTCGGTTTCAGTTCTGTGAGAATCCCACAGCGCGACAGGGGAGCCCGGCTCTTACCTGGGTTAGTCCTTCCCAGGTCAGCACCCCGTGAGACGTCCGTTCCACCTCCGGTGCCTTCCCCTCATTGGTTAGATTCCTGGGCAGACTCCTGTCGGCCCTTTTCCAGGCACCTGGTCTCCTTCCTCAGTGCAGTCACTGCCCCTGGATACGAATCATGGTCAGAGGCCCTGGTCGTGCTGTACTTGCGTCCGGTGACACTGAAATGCTGAGACAACACAGCCACGGGTGTGGGGACAGGTCCTGCAGGTGGTGGCCTGAGTCAGACACATAAGGACAGGAAGGCTGTAGAGATGCACGTATTTATCTCTGCGCATTAGGCGGCAGGCATAGTGACAATTTATCTGTGCACATAGATTTTTACAATCATCTGTGTTGATGGCCGTGTAAATCTTGTAAACGCACATTCCAGGCCTCCGTGTTCCGGGGACACCGTGTTACCGGGCATCAGGGTGGCCGCTGGCGGTCTCTCCCTCTCTCAGGGTGTGCGCTCATTTCCAGTGAAGCATCGGCCAAGCACCTGCAGTGTGGATTTATTCCAGGGTGTTTGACAGGAGGAGACGCAGCATACCTGGGCTTCTAGCTGAACACTCTCGGGGGACCAAAAACTCTGCTATCACATGAACAATTATAATCTGGTTTCTCAGCGCCGACTCTTGTTGGTTCTGATGGCATTTAAATAGGAGCATGTGTTGTAACACTCATGACAAAACGGCTTGTATTATTTAGGTTACATATCTGTGATTAAAAGCAAGACTTGAGAGGGACGTGGCTAGGGCACAGGAGCCTGGGGCCTGTGTGTCACCGTCAGACTGTGACCTGGGCCACACCCTGCTTCACCCCCACGTTGGGAGGACCCAGCGGTCCCCTCTGATGGAAGGGAGTCCAGGCCAGAGCTGGACCACTCGGAACTTGGCCTGTTTTGCCTAAGACACAGCTTTTCTAATTCCTTCCGGATGCGCTGCACAGAAATGGGTGCCGATGAGGCAGGTGTTTGCAGAGCTCTGGGGACGTCACAGGTCTTCGGGTGTGCTTGGTCGTCCCCACCCCAAAGAAAGCATTCCCTTTTCCCACGAGAAGGGGGTGAGAGGAGAGGATCAGTGGACGCAGTAAAATGGTTGGTGCTTCCTTGCGTGTGGATGAGCATCTCAAAGAACACAGAAGAACCGAGCTGCTTCTTAACGTGAGGCTGTCCCCAGTGAACTGTCCTCAAGTAATGCCTGTGGTTCTTCTCGATGGCTCTTTGAAGGCTGAGGGCACGATGACTAGGTAAGCACAGGGCAGAGGCACAGTTTAGAATGCGTCCCTAGGTGAGTGGGCCGTCTGTGGAGAAGACAAAGCCTTCCATTCTGCGTGGCTGCAGCTCCTCCTGGGAGGCAGGGCGGCTCTCCAGGAGAGCCCAGGCCCTGTTCGAGGCGAGAAGGAAGTGTCCACACTGAGGCACGAGCCATTGCTGGGCGATTCCAAACGGATGATGGTGTCTCCGCACATGAGGGCAGGAGGGCAGTTGGAGCAGTTAGGGTTGGAAGCAGCCAGTGGAACTGACCTGGGTCCCTGAGGTCTCTCCTCTTCAGGCTAACGTCATGTTTTAACCCAACCTTGCACGTTGAGCTTTCTTTCCTCATGCGCTGAGCTGCACGACGACTTCAGAATAATCTTCAGCTTTTCCACACCCTGTGTCAAGGCTGAGGGTGGGCTGGGTTTCCCCAGGGGAACCACCACCGGCACCCGGGTGGTGCCCGGATGAACCTAATGGCTAACACTCTGGGAGAAGGTTCCCTCTCTGGGAGGTGAAGGCAGATGGTTAACCGCTCTTCCTGAGGCCCACATTATTATTATTATTATTATTATTATTATTATTATTATTATTATTAGCATTAGCATTTCATATCCCATGCATGCCTGAGAATTCCTGGCCCATTATCCTGTTTCGTCTCCCTCCATAATGGCAGGCAGCAGGGGAGGGCAGCTTATTCACCCATGTTCTTGCGATCCTGGAGGCTTTCTTGGGCTGTTTGCCACCCAGCGAGGAACTTGACCTTTTTTCTAGAAATCGTCAGTGTCAATGGACCCATCTCCCGGGGCCAGCCCCAACGGGGCATTGCCCTCGCGTCCCCTCCCCAGGTGACAGGAGATGGGTCTGGCAACGATGTGTTTAGCATCCAGCTGAGCAGGCCATGGCTCCATGGTGGTGGCAGAACTATCACTGACTGGCCCTCGTTCTCCGGTCTCTGGGCCCCGGGCCAACCCTAGACTTTTAGGGGCATGAAAGAGAGGTCTTCGGCCTGGAGCCTGTCTCCACGTCAAGTAGGCGAAGTGGAGAAGAGTAAAGGTCCCCCTTCTCAGCCTGACGTTGCTAAGGGGAGGTAGGCGACTTGCAGTAGGCTGTGGCTTCACGTAACACGGGCGATGTACACCACCTTTTTGCTTGTTCTGTTCTTCATGCTACTAACCAGGCTCTGCCGACGTTGTTTTAATTTGGGTTTTTATTTGCGGGGGTTGCTTTGCATGTCACTCTCCCTCTTGGCTGTTAGTCGCGGGGTGGAGCCTTTTCTTTTCTGTGATTCAGGTGCCTCACTCTTTCCTTTCCAGGTTCTTCCAGTTCTTTTAACATGTCAAACTCTGGAGATTTGTTCATGAGCGTGCAGTCACTCAATGGGGATTCTTACCAAGGGGCCCAGGTTGGAGCCAACGTGCAATCACAGGTAGGGACCCAGCCAATGTGCCGCCAGGTGAATGCAATGGGGCCCACGAGCCTCAGTCGTATTGGCTCTTCCTGCCTCCTTCCAGAGTGAGCGAGAGACACGGAGAGGCAGGGAGAGAGGGAAGTGTAGAAACAATACCTTACCATCGACTAAACCAATCCAAAACAAAGACAACCATGGTCGTGGGGAATCTTGTCCACACTTTGTGAATGCATTTGGCTCTGGCTTGTCAGTCATGCTAGGAAGGCGGGAGAGGAGCAGGAGGCAGAGGGCGAGGGGATCGAGGTTCATCGGGCAGGTGGGACCAGCGTGTCCTTGGTTCACGGAAGGGGAAGGGAGGAGGCATTCAGTCCACTCATCGTCTCGGTTTCCAGGTGTCCCTCCTGCTGTGGGTTTCCCACACTCAGTGTCTGCCCAATATGGCGGTAATTATGAGGAGACAAACGCCTGAGCATCTCATGTCTCCACTGAAGCTTTGGAAACACTGGCCAGGCTGACTGAGCCCCCCTTCTCAGTCTTCCTGAAGGTCAAGGGCTTGGGCCCCGGTGATGAGCCTGAGTTCACGTTGGGAAGCAAAACCAAGTCGTGTGCTGTACGCCCTCTGCTCCTCCGTGGGCAGCTCATCCTCCCTACCCCCCAGGAAGTCGTCCTGCCACCTCAGCATGGAGCCGCGTGGCGGAGGGGAAGGGGAGTGTGGGGCCAGCATTTTCTGGGGGACTTCCGAGCCACGGCAGTCCAGTTTTCCACCCCACATGTGGAACTGAAAGCCATCCATGCCTGAAATAGACCAACTGGCCAACGATTTATTCCCCTGCTCGGGAAACTGCCTGGACACAAGTTTGAGAAGATACGGTCAGACTTTGGCCAGCTGACCAAACAACTGGGCATCGTTTCAGTCCTCAGACCATCCTGTCATCTCTGTGAGGTGGCTGACCATGTCCCCTCTGCATAGAACCTTGGCTTTGCAAGGATCCCCAGCGAAGGAGAGCTACCTAAGATGGCCTGTAGGGAAGGGGAAATGCCTTCACTCCCTGCCATCTCACGCGGTGTCGTTGCCTTATTTCAGTGGTGGGGGCCCCGGCTGTGTTACCGTTTCACTGTCCTACCTGCTGAACTCAGACGGAACACTGGGCTTGGTTCACGCAGGAGCCCCCGCCTCTGCTTCACGGAGCCCTCCCAGGAAGACTCTCTCCAAAGTGACGCCGCTGATGGGCCGTGCCCGGACGGGTGTGTGTGTGATGCTGCTGTGCCTCGTGGCCCTGCGCCCCCTGACTAACCTCCTCTCTGTTGTTGTTCATTCATCTAGGTGGATACCCTTCGCCATGTTATCAGCCAGACAGGAGGATACAGTGATGGACTCGCAGCCAGTCAGATGTACAGTCCGCAGGGCATCAGTGTAAGAAAACCAGCCCCGCTTTGTTCTCTTCTATCCCTACCAATTATTTCAAAGCCATAGGGCTCCGCATGCCACTTAGTAGGACTGATCTCAGCTTCAGGGTCACCTCGTTTCTTGTTTCTGTATCGGTCTTGCCATCGGCAGCACTCAACCCACAAAAAAAGGGGCGATGGGGTGGCTTCGTGTAGGCAGCTGGCATCCAGGGCTGTCAGACGCAATCAGTGTTTGCATAGCACCTGCGGCCACATGCCTTCAGCTGAGAGGAGCTGCTGAACAGGTGACACCGAGTACAACAGTGCTGGGAAATGTCGCCACAAGCTGGGCCTGGGAACTCGGGGAGGAAAACGGGTCACCAACCTCCATTGCATCCAGGTCTGTGGTCTTAAAAAACACCTTTCTCCAATCTGTTGAGGGGCAATGAAAACATATATATATATATATATATATATATATATATATATATATATATATATATATATCAGCACAGAGGCTGCGTATGTTGAAGGGACGGGAAGGGGTGCAGACCACCTTCTCCTGATTCTTGGGTGCCTGGCGGCCCTGACTAGCATGAAAATCCGTAGCGACAAGCTGTGTCACACAGAGTGAAATCGATCAGACAGACACAAGGAGAACCGAGTGTAGATTTGGGACAGCAATCCAACTTGATTTCTCAGATCAATCGTCCGCCATCTCAGCAGCGGTGACAGCAAGCTGGGACAAGCGGGCAGCCTGAGAAAGGAGGCTGTTCTATAGATCAGGGTGATTTCCTGGGCTTTTCGAGGTCCCAATAGGCTCCGGGAGTAACTGTGGGCTGAGAACGACTGAAGAAAACTATTGTTGGTTGGTGGGGATGATTATTCATTTATTTTGTTGTTGTTGTTGTTATGATTAAAATAAATGTGGGACGGAAGGAAGGGAAGGAAAGCGTGGTGCAGTGATGTCACCCTCGTCTATATTAACTGAGGTAGAGTGTCGGCAGTGAAGGAGGTGATGAGTCCTTCAACTCTGTTGGTCAAATCATATGTGACTATGGCCGTCCTAGGAGTCGAGAGAATACCAGCTTTGTCATCAGCTGGGGAAACGGTCGAAAGAACCCCAAAAGGCTTAGGGGTTCTTAGCCTAGAGAAGGGGAGAGTTGGGTGGTCCATACTAGCGTTAGACACGCCGTGGTCTGTGAGAGACTGGATTCGTCCTGAATGGTCCACCTAACGGGGGTAAGATAAGGCCCCTGAGTAGAAGATTCAGAGAAACGCATTTCGCTCCCGCATTTGATGGCCTTTCTCGTGGAGTTGTGCAGAGATGGGCTGCCTCTGGAGGTCGCGAATTTCCCACCGGGCAGTCAGACATGGGGGGGCTACGCTGTGTGTGGGGGTCAAGCGCCAGGACGGGGACGGTGCGGTGACTGGTCGGGCCCCTTCCAGTGAGGAATTCCTTCTTTTCTACCTTCTTCACGCAGAATCCCATCTGAGTTTATGTAATATTTAACAAGTCCCTCCCTGGGAGGGAAGCAGAGGTCAGAACTGACCCTGTTCCGTATCTCTGGGCAGTCGTGTCACTTTTCTAGGAAGGATTTCCAGAGCAGGGCCCCCTGCCTTCTTGTGCTCGTATGAATTGTTGTTTCCGTATCAATGGCTGACTGGCCGGAAACCTGCCTAGAAAAATACAAGATGCCATGGTGGAGAAGTATGTTCTCAAAAATAGATTCCAGATGAATTAAGTGGCTCTGTGTGTATCTGTGTGTGGGAGGGGGAGGAGGGGTTCAAGCACAGATACATTTACGCATTTCCTGAATCTTTTTGAGATGTAAGATAGATTTTTCCAGAGAGAGCTTTGCTTTGTGTAAGTGTGGGGATGAGAATATGGGCACACTCACAAAGGGAACTGAAAACGTCTGTGACTGGGCAGGAAATGGGGCCGACGGGTCTGCTATTTGGCACCTTTCTTTCCTAATCGGGTAGTGCAGAAGAGCACGGCCCTCAGACTCTGGGGGCGGGAGGTGGGGTGTCAGCATGGACCCCTCTGACGTCATCTGGCGGGCTGGGAATCGTTTCTGAACTAGTGTCACCAAACATGTGCAGACAATTACATGTGATTACATAAGCCCACCACAAAAACTGGGCTTGGAAATGCCACTTGAAAGAGTTTCTCATTTTGCACTAATTTTTTTTCCCTGTGAACTGTGCTTCTTTTATTTCTGGGTCTTTAATATGCAGGGTAAATGAATCAAAGCCTGATCGTGACACGATATGTTCCTTTGGTATTAATTTTAAATCGTGCCACCTGCCGGAGACTGAGCTTGTTAGAGCGAGATGGAGTTTTAGATGGTGGCATGAGACATAAGACGTGTGTGTGTGCAGCGCGAGGCTGTGGCTGCTGGGAGAAGAAAGGGAGGGAGAGGAGGAGGGAGGCTGGAAGAGACAAGGACAGGAATGAAAGGTTCGAGCCAAGAAATAAAAATAAACAACTCCTAAACCCAAGGCAGCCGTGGAATTCCCAGCTGGGCTCTGGGTTCTGTTTCATTCCCTGGAGGACGTTTTCTGGGCAGCCTTCATCGGCTCCCCTGGCTGGGTTTCCACAGCACCCGTATGTTACCCAACCCACGTCTATTTTAAGTCCTCCACAGCTCAGACCACTTGGCCTTGGCTAAGACCACGTAGCAATGGGGTTGCAAGGTGCCATGGGAAGAGCCCCGTCCAGGCGTTGGGAGGCTGGTCCCGGTGTGTGTGCCCAGCGGTGGGAGTCGGATCTGTTGTACAAAACGGGGCCAGGAGCACCCACCCTTCCTACCTCAAGGGCTGCCGTAGGAGAGGATGACACCTTAACCAGGAGAGGCCTTGCAAAGCGCACATCATTCCACTCGAATGCAGTATGAAATGTGAGAAGTGATAACTTTCTAATTTGACCTTTTTTTCCTCCGGTGCGAGCAGTTTTCACAGTAGCTAGTTCCTATTGCAGATAGGTTAGGACACAGTTGTCAGTTTTTTGCCCTTCCGATGGAAAGGTGTGCTTTTGAGATGGATGTGGAGTTCTGGAAGGCCTGAAGACCCGCTTCCGTAGCCACAGTGAGCGTAAATTATACCTCCTTAGGTACTTTGTGTTCTCAAATGACACGGGTGACACTTACTCGGCTTAGAGTGGCAGGAAGTAATGGAGGGAGATTATTCTAGTCCTCTGTCAATCAGACATGCTGAACGATACCTTCGCTCTCACATCCACTCTGTCCTTTCTGCTCCCACCACCACCATCCTAGTCCGAGAAACGGTTCACCACCAGGCTGTTGTGATGGTTTCCGAATCCCTATGGCCCCCGCCCTCAGTGCCTCCTCTCTCCAGCACACATCCCTGAATCGTGTCCTCCCTTGCTCAGAAGCTATCAGCGCCTCTCTGCTGCCCACCGAAGCCAACTCAGTCCTAGGGGCTGACCCAGAGACTCCCCCACGTGGGCCCCATCTACCTGTCCTTCCGCCCCAGCCTGTCATCCAGGTGGCCTCTGGATGCCGGTCAGTGCAGCCAGCTCCCCTCCCTGGTGATGCCCGTCTCCCACGTCCGCTCACAGAAGCCGTCTACGCATGTGGCCTGTCGCTCCCGCCTGCTCTCAGAGCCACACTCTCCCAGGTCCACTCCCTGCGTGTCGTGTGGCCCCTCTTGCCTTTACTTTGTCACTCACACGCTTGCCTTGTGCTCCGAGGATGTGCACAGATGTGCCCGCCTTGTTGGTCTCCATGCCTCTCTCTCCCGAGTGTGTGTGGTTCTAAACGGCGTCTATCAGCTGCTGAAAACACGGGGTTGAAGGAATGCATCAGGCTGGAGAAGACAAGATGCCAGCGAATAAAAATCTGTTTAATGGCCAGTGTTCACCTCTTTCCCCAGCTGTGAAGCATCTAGGAATGATTTTTATTTTAAATATTTACTAATCCACCAACATCCTGTCTTTTTACTCAGGAATTCTTAAGTCTTCTTTGTGGGAAAGTTTCTAAACTTTTGGGCCATTGCAGATTCTCTGAGAGTAAGATTACAGTCAGCCTTAAATACGTGAAATTCTACAGTGAGGACGTCGCTGAGAGAATTCTCTCTTCAGCCCTGTAACTCCTGCTCCCCTGAAAGAACCTCTATCAAACCCTGTCTGTGGGACACCGTTGGGGCAGCAGCATAACATGGTTTCTGATGGGCCCCACTGCTGTCTCCGCCAGACTTGGAGCGAGAACCTCCACGTGGACACAGACTGGCAGAAAGTGGGAGCAACCTGAAACCAGGCAACTTGGGTCCTTTCTGGCTTGTCATCTGCCAGGTTGCCTCACCCCTTTTCACCGTAATATTTACCAGATAAGTGAGCTCAGAGGTCCCTTTCAGCTCAGTTCCAGAGTCCTCCGCGCATGACCTGTGGTTCTAACTCTCAGCTCGGGGGACACCAGGCTCAGCGGTGGGATCCTGTCCCCAGAAGCCTCCTGCGTTAGCGTCCTTCTCCGCCCCGTCTTCCAGCCTCCCGTTGTTTCTTCCTCCACCTGTACCTTGAGCGTTGGAGGAAGTTCCTGAGTCACACGAACTTTTCCGAGATTTTCTGGTAGCAAAAAGCATTATTCTTTAGAAATGAAGCAATTTATTTTTAATTATTTGTAAATGTGAGTGAAGGGCATGAGTTCACTCCAGCCCATCTTAAGTGGAAATAGATACCCATATAAGACATTTCTTAGTCAGGAGTTTTAGTGAAAACGGAAATAAAGTGTTAGCATCACTCTCTGAAGACAAAGTGCCATTAATGTCAGCTTTATGACAGAAAAATCTCATTAGTTTTGTAGTAGTGGAAAAACAGAGATGAAGCTTTTACCTTTGTAAACATAGCATAGGTGTTTTTTTGTTTTTGTTTTCTCCCATGTTAGATGAAGAGGGAAAAGGATATTTGCTAAGAAAATAAAGTATAAATCATTAGGACAAAAATAACATCCTGTTTAAGAGGACACATTTCTGGCATTTGGATATCACCAGAGTCACTTGGTAACAGTG